CATTGGAACAGGCTGCCCAGGGAAGTGGTTGAGTCACCATCCCTGGAAGTATTTAAAAGACGGGTAGATGAGGCGCTTAGGGACATGGTTTAGTGGGCATGGTGTTGTTGGGTTGATGGTTGGACTCGATGATCTTGGAGGTCTCTTCCAACCTTAATGATTCTATGATTCTATTCAAGTAAAACTGCAGTATTCCAGCAGCCCTACAGGGGAGTGTAGGACTGAAACAACATGGAATTTGAATAATGAATGAGATAAGTCACATTTCTTCCTGTCCTTGACACAAGGTGATGAGTGGAAAATAATTAAGGAGATCCTTTCCTGTGTCTTACTCTTGGAAATTATCACATTATCCACCTCTGGTTGTTTGCTTTATGGGTTGGGTTTTTTTTGTCGCCTTTGGAACTCTGTTGCTGTTTCAAGTATAGCTTCAGTTGGAAGAATTTCTCCATTATTTTTAGAAGACAGAGCAGGTACCTAGGAACCTAATTTAACTCCAAACAAAAAAAAATTATTGGGCAGTTAAATGCAAGTAAATGTTTTAAATTCTTATGCTTCCTTTTTTTAATATTTGAGGTATTTCATCTGTTGGGTGTTGTGCTCTTTACATCAGACATCAGAAGAACTATTCTGTTGACTTAAGCCAAACTCATGCCAGGAAGAGGTTGAAAAAGATTCTGAAAAGATTGATCCAGCTGGTAGTTTCTTTAGGCTGAAGGGAATTTTGGTAACTGCTGCTGTTCTTGCTTGTAAGTTCTCTGTAGTGGGTGGGAATATTCTCAATACTGCTGTGACTACAAAGAGGAGAGAGGTCTTACAGATCTGGGTATATAATAGACATAGACTTGACATGTGGAGACTTGCAGTTGTATGATTTTCTGCTTGTACTACCTTCCCGTGCACGTGCACTTCCTGCCAGTATTATACTGAGTAAAACCTTGTTCTTTGTTGATACATGACCGTATGTACTTTTCCACTAGGAGGAGAAGGAAAAGGTGAGAGCCCAAAAAGAAGAGGTGTTGAATCAGATGAATGACGTGTTGGAGAATGAGTTGCAGTGCACAATCTGTTCTGAGTACTTTATCGAGGTATGTTTAAACCGGTATGGGTTTGCCAGTAAAGAAGAGGCTTGAGAAGCTTTCCCTAGTTCTAGTAAGGCAATAGTCAAGCTTATTTCTTTACTTCGCTAGTTTAACAGTCCTAACAGACCCACAGTGAGTTGTGGGTAAGGGTTGGTCCAGAAATCCATTCTGTCTGCCCTAACTCTTCTTCTGGGCAGTAAGTTCAGCTTTAATGTCTCTACCTGCAGAGAGATGAGTGCTTATCCTGAGATGCATATAGGCTTGCAGCAGTTTTGGGTGTGTTTGAACTGGTGCTCTGAGCTGCTGCTGACAGCTTGCTTGGGGAAGAATCATTTTGTAGTGGACCTTGCTTTAAGTTGACTGGGGTTGGACTGCTTCAGGTTTAGATATAGGAAGAGGTTAGTAAAGGAAGGGAGTTGCAGCATTCAGTGAAGTCCTGAACAGTTTATATTGTTCAGATAAACTCTTTGAGAAATTGGCCTACTTTCATTTGATTCAAGAAGTGATAGGCTATGCCTGAAATGTAGATTGTTATTTCTGTTTGTGTTTTGCTAGAACTTCAGTATCATTACGTTCATTTCTACTACAGGAAACCTGATGTGTTAGCCTTGTTATAATGACTTAAGAGCTAGCTGAAATTTTAATTTCTGGTTTCTCAGTAATTTAAGATGCTATTCTGCAGTATCTGTTTTTCCATAATTTATCCTTTTCAAATTGGGGAAACTTATGATAGAATTAATTCTTTTTGCGTGTGTTTCTGACTTGCTGTGATCTACAGTGAATCCATTAACTAACTCGTAAACTTGTCTGCACTCTGGCATGGGAGAGTTTGTGTGTGTAACCCCTACAAAGGCTAAAGAAAAGGGACTTTGGGCTTCTCCCCCCACCTCTGTTATAGGAAACGTTCATCTAATGTTTTTCTGACTTCAGTATTTTTTTCTTGATAATGCTTGTGTGAGCATGCTCTGATAAGCATCCTTCCGTCGAATTCCACAGGCAGTCACTCTGAACTGTGCACACAGCTTCTGCTCCTACTGTATCAAGGAGTGGACGAAACGTAAAGTGGAGTGCCCTATCTGCAGGCAGGAGATCAAATCAAAGACACGCTCTCTGGTGCTGGATAACTGCATTGACAGGATGGTAGAAAAACTGGATGTGGAAATGAAAGAGCATCGCCTGACCCTTATCAGAGAGCGGAAAGGTGAGAGGTGGGTGGATGTGGCATGATGAGTACAATCTCCCATTCTGTCTATTTTGTACAACTTTCTTTGGCACCTATATACCAAGGAGATGCTCGGGGAATGCAGCAGAAACACTAGAAAACTAATTTCAACATATGTTGTGTAACTAGCTTTACTGCACAGTAAAATAAAATTAATAAAAAGTTTGGAAAAAGACTTCAGTATGAATTCCACAGTCGAGTGGGACAACTTAACTGTGCTAAAGGTTACGCTGTTTCAAAGAGATGACTAAATAAAAGCAAAACTATATAGAATGGGCCTTGAAAAATTTACCAGGCACCTTCTGATTAAACTATTGACTTCATAATTGCAAAAACTCAGCAGAGCAGTGCCTGATGAGAAACTCTGAATTCTCCTCCGTGTGCTAGATTTGTGTAGGAAATCTCTGAAGGGAACATTGGTGTGTCATGTAAGTGTATGGCTGAACTGGCAGTTGCTCTGCCATGTTAATTTTTGTGGAATTAAAGCCACTGTGGCTTAAATGCATAACCTCTTGCCTAGTTGTAGCTAAAAGACTGTGCATGTCAATGACAGCTTTAAGTAAAACTCCAGTATGGGGTATTCCTGTTCTGCTTCCCTCTTCCAAATTTGTTTCTAGAGCACTTGACACTGGTATCTAGGTGCTGAAATGTAGAAGTCTTTTCCTGCTACCCCTTAACAAATTTCTATCGCTGTGTTCCCTTAAGTAATTGTCTTGTTTTCCCCTCATAGAGGTGAGTGCATGATCCTTCATTTTGCAATGTGTCAAGCCTTTTACTTAATGAAAGGTGCTTTTGAAACGTTTCAGATTCTCCATGGTGACACAGAATGACATTGCTAAGCAGTGTTAGTTCAAACCTCAAATTATAACCTATTTAACCAACTCAGTCTGATTCCCTCAGGAAATGCTACACTGCTCAGAGCCTGCCCAGCTCGGCTTCGTGAATTGCTTTCACTTCTGCAGAACTGACACTGCTCTTGTGCAATATGCATATCTGCAGAGTATGCCATAGCACTATCAAAGCGTCTCATCAGGTAGCTAATGGTGATTAGGTGAAGTGGTGCCTTCGCTGGAGCCTGCTTCACTGGTTTACCATACAGAAATGGTCTTCATGCTTGTTTGAACAAAAAGGAAGTGAGCTTGTAGCCTACCTTCATATGCGGTAGATGCTGTAATTATATAAATGACTATTAGGAAATTATTCAGCTTCACCATGATACACTTCGGGAGGAAGGATGAATTGTTTCTGTGCAAGTCTTTTTATTCAGTGATGGAAACATTTTGATTGAGATGAAGATAACCATGTTTCCATTTAAACATGAATTCCTAAGAAGAAACCAGCTGAAAGAGAAATAATGATGCAAGTGGCACTTGAGAAGCTCAGTCAGAGCTTCCCAAGAAGCCTTTCCAAGAGCCTTAGTAGAATGGGCACCAATAGGACAGCTTGCACTCTTAAATGTATGGAGGTTTTGATGGGGCCATAAGTGTCCTGAACAACGGTTGCTTGTTTGAGAGCTCCTTACCACATTTTGTTCCTTCCCTCTTTCTTACCTGGCAAGGCACAGTAATAGTTAGCCACATCGAAAAAAGGCCTCTGCCCTGCAGCTTGAAAGACCTATTGCAAACTGACAGTGAGAAGCTGTAAGTTTCAAAGAGAACTAGTAATTTAGCGTTTGTGGGTACAGTGGTCACTGCTAACTTTTGTATCTGTGTGTTTTGAATGCAGAGAAACAGAATGTGTTGGTGAAACCAGCCACAGACAATGACAGCAGTGTCATTTCTTCCATCTACTCCATCTTGTCGATGAGCAGTTGTGACAGTGAGGACTCTGAGGAGGATTCTTACTATAATGAAAGCTACTACATTATCTAAACACTGTTACTGCAGACTCGTTTGCCTGTGTGCTGCCCAGAACCATCCTAATGGTATTTGGTTGACTACTGCTGGATGAATGGACTGGACGTCTGGAAGGAGAGACTCTATGAAGAGGCTGGAGCTGAGAACTAGCAGCATTTGGAAGAAGGACCTTATTTTTTAAATGAATGTACAGAAGCTTGATCTCTAAAACAAAACTGGGGTTGTGAGAGAACAAACTGCCGTTATGCTAGATGGTTGACATACAAAACCTAGGCTTCCATGATCGCTTGTGACCTGCTCGGTGTAATGTAACAGTTTGTATGCGTCACTGCCCTTTCCTCAGTGAATGACATGTTTAAATGTGTGTATCAGCTTCCCTTACTTCAAGCAGTAGAGGGAATGGCCCAAGCTATTTGAGAACTTGGCCATCCCCACCAGCAGGCAGGAGAGGTATATCAGGAAAAAGTGCCAACGTGGGTTTTCCTCTTGAATTTCATACGGCAGCTAGAGTCATCCCAGGCCTCTGGCAGTAAAGGTAGCAAAGGGTGGGTTATGGACCCTGTCAGCCTTAAGTGCTTAAATGCATTGTAAGCTGAGCTGCTGGCCATCCGTTTGCTCTGTTGATGTTCCTCATTTTCTGTTAGATAGGGATGGAGAAGATTAAATCTTCCAGAATTTCTTAGCTAGTGCTCTTTTCATACAGTACCTTTGGTTTGTTCCCCCTTCAGGCTTTTGCGTAAAGGGTTTTAGAATTGGGAAGCAGCACATCCAGAAGTTATTAGCAATGACTTCAGAAACACGTATAGTTCTTGTCAGCAGCAGAGAGGGACCTCTGCCTCTTCAGAAGTGCTGCTATCTGAATTAGTGAAATGTCCTGTTGGCAGGGTAGGAAAGCAGCATCTGTGGCAACCACAAGGCACAGAAGGAAGCATTTAGTTTTATTGTTTACAAAACATTGCTGTTGAGCCATGGGTTGTACTACCCTCACAGCAAATCACTCATCCCTAAGAGACTGAGCAAGTCTTGCCTCATCCTATCATGAATTTGTCTATGAAGTTCCATTTTCAGTGGCTTATGCTTTTGACTTAGCCGTTACATGGAAAGGACTGTTCTACACTGTGAGAAGAGGATGGGGGAAGCCCTTCTCATCTATAATATTTCTTTGGCTATTTTTACGTACTTTCTTGTTTCGATGTTTATTTTGTTTAAGAAGGAAAATATAAATCCATTTCTGCATTAGTCTTCCTTGGTGCAACCACTGAGATGAATGTCTTTCTCCTAGCTGTCTTAGATTTTTTGAGAAAACACAAGACTATCTCATTTTAATGACTTTGCTTCACGTTTGATTGCTGTAAGCAGTGTTACTATTTTAAAGTTATTTGAAAGACTTGTGTATGCAGGACTTGATAAAAGACAACCCAACTCTGAAAGCCTGTGGCTACTCTAACGGTAATTTAGTAGATACAATCATACCTCTTATCTTTTTCCACTGGAGAAAGATCCCATTAAAAAGGTGCATGAATGATGATGATGTCCTAAGGAAGTAGTGCGTTCTGGCAGATTTGATTGGTAGGACTTAAACAGGGGAGGTAGGTCTGATCTGTGGGCCAGGCAACTTTCTTAAAATCTTAGTGTAAGGTTTTTTTGTGAAGGAGTCATTACATCTTGAG